CAAAAACAAATGGATAACAGTGACAAATACCCGTTCCGATAAGCAGCCGATTGCTGTTTATTTAACCGAGTACCGAGTAATGGGATTTTTATCAAAGAAGACTTGTTCATTTATTTATTTATTCATTAGTACATATGTATATGTACATGGCGAACTTTTTTTATAAGCTTAGAATGGCAAACAAGCTGACCGCCCACCTGATGGAAAGTGGTAACCGTCGACTATAGACATGAGCAGTACTATGGACATAACAGAGTATACTGTTTCGCCCATGATACCCCCCATGCGTTGCCATTCCTGAGGACTCAAACGTTATTTCTCTGTACCAAGTAAATTTACGCCATATCCCACCCTTCAAACCGAAACACAGCCATGCAAACACAACTGCTTCACGGTTGAAACACGAATGGGACAGAGGTACCCAAGCAATCGACTTTTGTACAAAGTCTCCCTCTGATAAATGATTGATTAGATGATAATGATATATTAGATAAACAATATATATAATATAGTATTTATATAAATTGAAAAATGTCAACATACTGGTATGAATTGCAAACAAATTTGATTCATATCCTACGAACAATGAAGGGCGAACATAATCAACTGTTATTACATATAAATCCCCTTTTACGGCCGTTAACAGTGATAGAATTGTTAATATTATGATATACGACTAGGTACTGCTTATTTGAAATTGTTATACAATGCAATGTCGATAAATTTTATTATTGTGTATAAATCAAAACGCTGTCACAGGATAAGATCGGATTACAATCGCCTAAACTGTCCAACAAATAATTTACTTACAACACAGTGATTAAGATTCGTAATACAATTCGGGGAGTTAATTCATAGGATTCGCCTACACCCCTTACCAAGCAAAATGTGTACATATTTTTAAATACCAGAGGGAGACTTTGTACAAAAGTCGATTGCTTAGGTACCTCTGTCCCATTCGTGTTTCAACCGTGAAGCAGTTGTATTTGCATGGCTGTGTTTCGATTTGAAGGGTGGAATATAGCAGTGAATTTACAAGGTACAGAGGAATAACACCTGAGTCCTCAGGAATGGCAACGCATGGGGGGTATCATGGGCGAAACAGTATTCCATGCAACATTATATCCAGCAGTGGACAGTTAAAGACTGATATGATGATACCATAGTATGCCATAGTAGTAGCTCTTAAATCATAGTACCCAGTTCACTGCCTGCCTGCCACTACCACATCGAACAAATCAGGACAAAACATGTAAGCAGGCTGTAAGACACAAATAGATCGATCTGCTTAGATATCTATTTATATTTTTTTTAACACAAGGAGCAAACGAGTATGCGGCTCACCTGATAGTAAGTAACTACTGCCGCCATGATCACCCATAACACCAAAGGCATTGCAAGTGTGCTGCCGGCCTTTTAAAAAGGAATATACTCTTTTCTTGAAGGTTATGATGTCGTATTGGTTTGGAAGTACTGTTTCTGGAAGTTGATTCTAAAAAATGGTTGTGTGTGAAAGAAAGTGCCTTGAAAAACGCACGGTGGGAGACCGTCACTCGTCCAGATGGTTTGGATGAAACTTTAGTTTGTGGCGGGTTGTACGGTGGTAAAAATCAGCAGCAGGTATATCCAAGTAACTAAAGGATTGGGAAACTATTAGTAACAAGATTTAACAGCCTAATATGTTAATAATCTGGCTTTTTAAACCAAAAGCGCTGTTGTTAATTCCTAGTGAATTCGTTCCCGAAGTCCCACTGACCTAACTTCATCCTCATCTATTAACCCACTGATATCCCGCTAGCGTACGGACAGGCAAAGCCCAAAGCTTAAGTAAGTTGAAGTGGCAATGGGCTGGTCACATAGCTGTAAGAACCGATAACGGATTGGTTCTTGAGTGGCGACTCCGTACAGGCAAATTCTATGTGGAACAAGCTCCCCATTAGATGGAGTGACGACCTTAAATGCATTGCAGGGAAGCAGTAAATGCAGATGGCTCGGGACCGTTCCTTATAGCAATCTATAGGAGACACTTATGTTCAGCAGTGGATAGATAACCTGCTTTTTTTTTGGGCTAGGGAATACTGTTTCCCTAAATATTGAGAGCCTTACTTCACTATTGGAATACCAAGTGTAATAATAATTCTTTAATAAAGGCAACCAGGTCCCACAAAATTTTAACAATATTAATTTGCACCAACTATAAATTATTAAATACAATTTTAAATTATTTTTTTTTTACATTTATAAATAAATAACATTAACTTAAACTACTTTTTTTTTGTATGTTAGCCAGTATATGAATCATTCTGCAATGATTCAAATACTGGCGGTCTGGACGATCCGCAAATACCCTTAGGATAGTGTTAGAGCTGTCGCGGACCTTACGCATCAGAGATGTGCACCGCTTTCGCATAGTAGCGTAGAAACAACACGCGCCTCGGCGAACATTCCCGACACACTACAAAACCGGGACAGCCCCAACAGTTTATTTATTTGATTTGATTATAATTTTTTCTGTTTTCATATGTATGAGTATTATAATTTTATGGCGTGATTTGTGGAGTGAATTATATTGATAGCCTTGTAGAGTTTAACCTAGCGTTTATTTATATGTAAGTACTATATATTCATATATTAAAAAATATAAATTAGTATTAATAAATCAGTTTTTATATTACCTTTTTTTTATTTCGATACTTTAAAATTTTTTATTTTTTTTTTCGTTTCTTCCCAGGTGCGAATCTTCGGTCGTAGCTGCAAGGTTGACAGTACACGTGCCGACTGTACGGGCAATTGTGCATAGTGCATACAGTAGGGGGGAAAGGATTGTTAGTAATGTGGAGGTTAGTTCCCATTGCTAACAATATACCGTGTCAGGTCGACCTCCACGCGGTTCGTCCTGGAAACCATCGTGACCAATTCATCATTGAATTCGTCAAGATGGGCTGACTGACCTGCTTTTTTCATTATTCACCTATAATCCCTCACTGGTGCCCCGTCAGCGTATCCCGTTAGCGCAGGCGGGGCTACCATTCCATTAATCATGCATTAAAAAAAAGTGCATACAGTAATACCACTCCATTATCATCTCAAGAAAAAATACCATAAGTAGACGATTTTTGCTACCTCTCTATTTTAGCTATCAAATACAAGCCTTCTCCATCCATTCGTGTATAATTTGCCAGTGTGGTACACCACACCTCAGTACAGTGTTGTCGTGCTGCCGACAGTAAAGTCGAGTAGTCCAGAAATATACCGGAGCGTGTACAATAAAAACCAAAACTGAATCGCGACCAGCGTCGCGCGCACGTCTAATATTAGAATAGACGAGTCAAAGAGTAAACAAATAGTCAGATGTTTCAGATACCAGATATCAAATACCAGAGGGAGACTTTGTACAAAAGTCGATTACTTGGGTACTTCTGTCCCATTCGTGTTTCAACCGTGAAACAGTTGTGTTTGCATGGCTGTGTTTCGGTTTGAAGGGTGGGATATGGCGTGAATTTACAGGGTACAGAGGAATAACACCTGAGTCCTCAGGAATGGCAACTCATGGGGGGTATCATGGGCGAAACAGTATACTCTGTTATGTCCATGGTACTGCTCATGTCTATAGGCGACGGTTACCACTTTCCATCAAGTGGGCCGTAAGCTTGTTTGCCATTCTAAGTTGTAAAAAAAAAGAAATATATTCAGTAACAACGACAAACTTATAATTGTAATACTTATTTTGAAAATACCTCATCGTTGGTTAAACTCAGTTTTACAACATGCTGTATATACTTATATTTACCATAAATCTTACTGGTATCATTAAACTCTGGATAGTAGACTGCTTGTACACACAACATACACACTCGGCATAGAATAGGCCCTACCTTTCTCGTGGGTGTCGTAATAGGCGACTAAGGAAAGGTTATGGATGGGCAGCAACGTCCCTCTTAAAACATCACCAAAGGTCATCTGATGTTTTTTTTAATGGGTGATAATGGAATGGTAACCCCACCCGCGCTATCGGTATACACCGGTGGGGCACCAGTGAGATTGATGAGGATGAAGCAAGTCAGTTAACCCATCGTAACGAATTCAACAAGAATTGTTCACAATGGTTTCCAGGGAGAACCACGTGGAGGTCGACCTGATATTGCCAGGAATGGAGCTGTCAAACTCCAATGCCAACAATCCCTTTTCTCCCGCTCATATAAGGTTGCCAATCCACCTGCCAAGCATGGCAACTACTGGCAAAACCTCCCAAGAAGAAGGCTTATGTTTAGCAATGGACGGTTAAGGACTGATATGATGATCAGTCTGCTTACAACCTAAGGTTAAATATACGACATTATTAAACCAATTTATATTTCCCATGCCGATTAGAGAACTGATGGTTTTATTAGGTGGGTGTCATGTATAAACAAATTTGTCTGTTACCATTTTTCTTATTCTGCATCCATTAGCTAATTACGTCACTAATTACGTCACTGCGAACTCAATTGCGACATACAATGCTCATGGCATCAGTTGGCACCTTGACAACTGTGCTTCTCTTGTAGGTATCTAATTTACAAAGATTTCTCATGAACAGAGCGAAAAATCCTTTTCGAAATCCTTTTCTATTGTGATAAAATTTCTCATAGAGACACTCTGCTATGGCCATGGTACTGCTCATGTCTATAGGCTACGGTAACCGCTGACCATCAGGTGGGCCGTATGCTTGATTGCCATCTCAGTGGTATAAAAAAAAACTATTTAAATATAATACCTACATTTTTTTAATGGGTGAAAATAGTATGGTAACCACGTCTGCGCTAACACGTCACGATGGGCTAACTGACCTGCTTTATCCTCACCTCTCATTTCTCACTAGGGCTCCGCTAGTGTATACCAATTACCATTCTATTAATAAAAAAAAAAAAAAAAAAAACAAATAAACGTGGGCGAATACAAGTGTTACAATAGTCAATTGTACTATCTGCTAAACTTTTAATCTATGATCGCCTATAAACCAACTCCAGTCAGAGCCAGTCAGTCGCAAGCGCAACCAACATTTGCACATTACGTGTTTTAACATCATTTTCCCGATATCCCGCCAATTCGGACACTAAAACAATATATACCTGAGATACGTGATACTGAGATTGATTATTTCAAGTGAGAAGTGAACGTTAAAAAGTGTTAATAGTGTATCAATATGTTTATATCGATATTGTGTACGTATCGAGGGATTTTAGAATATTAATTCTTGAATCGCATGTGAAATTTTAATGTAAGTATGTTTTAGGGAGGAACTCTTTTAAAATTTGACACGTTTAGCCTATATATATTTGTTTTATACAACTTAGAATGGCAAACGATCTGACGGCCCACCTGATGGAAAGTGGTAACCGTCACCTATAGACTTGAGCAGTACCATGGACATAACAGAGTGTACTGTTTCGCCCATGATACCCCCCATGCGTTGCCATTCCTGAGGACTCAAGTGTTATTCCTCTGTATCCAGTAAATTCACGCCATATCCTACCCTTCCAACCGAAACACAGACATGCAAACACAACTGTTTCATGGTTGAAACATGAATGGGACAGAGGTACCCAAGCAATAGATTTTTGTACAGTGTCCTTCTGGTGATATAGATATATTATAAGTTATAGAAAAAGGTCCTTTTTGAGGGTTTTCTTCGCATACTACTACGTAATAAACTCACGATCACATTTATAAGTAGGTAGTAGTATATATATATATATATATATATATATATTATTATTTTTATATTCCGCAATAGGGTTGCAAGATGGCAATCGAATATAATAATTGTAGTACGATATGTTTTCATGTATAGTTCTAGAAATAATGTATATGGTAAAACAAAGTTTACCGAGTCAGCTAGTATATAAATATATTATATATTATAAATAAATTTATATCTATCTATCATTTTTAATACAACGTTCACGAGCACAGGAAATAATGGGAATGGCGTAGGCGAAGCCATGAGTACCCTTCTTCTCATCTAAATTTTGATCTGAAAAACAAAATATATTACTCCATAAATTAAGTCGGTTTACGTCATAATTAATTTACTGCTATAATTTTGTGTGCTGTACAAAATGACATCAGAAATACGGTAAAAATATATGGGGAAAGGAAGTCACCAGAGAGTTTACCAGAGGGAGACTTTGTACAAAAGTCGATTGCTTGGGTACCTCTGTCCCATTCATGTTTCAACCGTGAAGCAGTTGTGTTGGCATGACTGTGTTTCGGTTTGAAGGGTGGGATATGGCGTGAATTTACTGGGTACAGAGAAATAACACCTGAGTCCTCAGGAGTGGCAACGCATGGGGAGTATCATGGGCGAAACAGTATACTCTGTTATGTCCATGGTACTGCTCATGTCTATAGGCGACGGTTACCACTTTCCATCAGGTGGGCCGTCAGCTTGTTTGCCATTCTAAGTTGTATAAAAAAAAAAAAATTCACACATCATGAGAAATCGTGTGCAGCGTTTCACTATTAGTTAGTTACATGTCCACTCTGTACCATGTTACTTTAATTTAATTTATTAAAATGTTATCAGAAATAATCATATTATTGAGATAAATAATTCCGTCGATTTAGTGGTACAAGTGTGGTTAACCCACCAAGTTATTATCTTCCACAAATTTATAAACTCTTGTCTCAGATATCTATTATAAAATAGGTTATATATTGAACATGTACTCTGCTCAAGATATGCACTGGAGTCCTGCAAAATATAACTTAAGAAAACCTCAATATAACTGGCCACTAATAAAAATGAATCTCATTATATTTATATTCTATAAAAAAATATATACTCATCATTTGTTATTATTAAAGTTAAATTTTTGTTTTTGGCGGATGCACTTCGTGCCGTGCCATTTATAATAATAATAATAGTGCCAATAAGTTTCCCGCTTTAAATTATGTTCGTAGCTGTTTTTATAAAAACACATATTTTTAATGTACCTTCACGCGAATTTAGTGAAGGTACCACCATATAAATAATTGAACTGTACGAGAGCTGCCATGCGTGGTGTTTTTACATTTTTCGCAAGAAACTATCCCCGATAGCTGGCCACCTGTATCAGTTTGGTTCGTGTGTGTGTGCCTTGTATATCTTTTAGTAGTCCGTTGGATCGAATTACAAGTCAGTGGGTACCATTATTTTATGGGTATTTGTTGTTTTATTGTATACAAATAAAATATGTATACAAATAATTATAATTCGTATCTGACTCGAAAAGGATATCTCTGGCAATCCCACGCGGAAATGCCACAAGTGTCATGGGGACCTTTGGGTCGGGTACGGATCATGAATGGGACTGATCATTAATTTAAATTTATTTTTGGGATTAAAACATTATTGCATGTATAAAATAAATATATGAATGAATGAGTATACTTTATTTGCATTATACAAAAAAATCGGTAAAAAAACTTTTAAGTTAAACGGTTTTATTTTATGTGCATTGAAAACTACAAAATAAATAAATAGTTACTTACCTATCAACCTACGTAGGTGATCTCGGTCATTAATATCTCTGATGGTAGTGGTTGTCATAACATGAACCATGTCAGCGGCCGAAAGGCAGTTCATGAGAGAACACTAACACCAGGGTTTGCTTGGTAGGTAAACTAAGCAGCCCACACTATAACAAATAGGTATTTTGACCTTCTAGTTCAGAAATATTTTAGTACTAGGCAGAATAGCTTTTAGGCATATTAGACTAAAGTAAAAACTTGGGTGGTATAACTACCGCTTACTAACGAGGTATCTAATTACCTATTTTTTTTTTATCTGCCCCTCTAACGTCACACAATCTTAGACGCAACTGTTCTCGATACGACTAATCATGCCCCCACCTAATACGCCATTTTGTAACAACCTTTGTAACAACCTTGAATTTGAAATTTTGACATAATGACAGTATTCTGCAGTGTAGTCCTATTATTTGACACCCATATTGCGGGGGTTAAGGAAAAATATGTAATCCGCCATTTTGTATCGGCGGCCATCTTAGATTTATAATGTTATTGATTTTATTATATTATATTGTCATCTAAATTAAATGTGTGTACCAAATTTCAGATCAATCTGACAACGGGAAGGTGCTTAAATTCCAATTTCTAATTTTGACCCAAATAAACAAATACCGTACAGGTCGAGCTAAATAAAATCATTTAATTAATAAAAAATAATCACAACTAATTTAAAGCAATTGTGAATAGGCTATTCTCGGGTCCACAAGCTTCGTCTAAGACCACATCATCACCATCCATCTGGTGAGATGTGTGTCTAGTGTCTGAGTGTCTTATGTCTGAGTGTCTAGTGTTTAGAGTCTGAGTGTCGAGTGTTGAGTGTCGAGTGTCCGAGTGTCTAGTGTCTGGGTGTCTGAGAGTCTAGTGTCTGAGTGTCTTGTATCCAAGTGTCTAGTGTCTGTATGTCTAGTGTCTGAGTGTCTTGTATCCGAGTGTCTAGTGTCTGTATGTCTAGTGTCTGGGTGTCTAGTGTCTGAGTGTCTGAGTGTCTGAGTGTCGAGTGTCGAGTGTCGAGTGTCGAGTGTCGAGTGTCGAGTGTCGAGTGTCGAGTGTCGAGTGTCGAGTGTCGAGTGTCAAGTGTCGAGTGTCGAGTATCGAGTGTCGAGTGTCGAGTGTCTAGTGTCTGGGTGTCTGAGTGTCAAGTGTCTGAGAGTCTAGTGTCTGAGTGTCTTGTATCCGAGTGTCTAGTGTCTGAGTGTCTAGTGTCTGGGTGTCTGAGCGGCTAGTGTCGAAGTGTCGAGTGTCGAGTGTCTAGTGTCTGAGTATCTAACGTCTGGGTGTCTGAGTGTCAAGTGTCTGAGAGTCTAGTGTCTGAGTGTCTTGTATCCGAGTGTCGGAGTGTCTAGTGTCTAGTGTTTAGTATCTGAGTGTCGAGTGTCGAGTGTCGAGTGTCTAGTGTCTGAGTGTCGAGTGTCTGAGTGTCTAGTGTCTAGTGTCTAGTGTTTAGTGTCTGAGTGTCGAGTGTCGAGTGTCGAGTGTCGAGTGTCGAGTGTCGAGTGTCGTCGAGTGTCGAGTGTCGAGTGTCGAGTGTCGAGTGTCGAGTGTCTAGTGTCGAGTGTCTAGTGTCTAGTGTCTGAGTGTCGAGTGTCTGAGTGTCTAGTGTCTGGTGTTTAGTGTCTGAGTGTCGAGTGTCGAGTGTCGAGTGTCGAGTGTCGAGTGTCGAGTGTCGAGTGTCGAGTGTCGAGTGTTGAGTGTCGAGTGTCTAGTGTCTAGTGTCTGAGTGTCTAGTGTCCGAGTGTCTAGTGTCTGAGTGTCTTGTATCCGAGTGTCTAGTGTCTGTGTGTCTAGGGTTTGGGTGTCTGAGTGTCTAGTATCTGAGGGTCTAGCGTCTGAGTATCTAGTGTCCGAGTGTCTAGTGTCTAGGTGTCTCAGTGTAGTCCTATTATTTGATACCCATATTGTGGTGGTTGTGGAAAAATATGTACCTAGTCCGCCATATTGGAACGGCGTCCATCTTGAATTTTAAATTTTGACATAATCATCGTGTTTTACTAGTGTAGCCCTTTCATTTGATACCCATATTGCGGGGGTTAAGGAAAAATATGTAATCCGCCATTTTGTATCGGCGGCCATCTTAGATTTATAATGTTATTGATTTTATTATATTGTATTGTCATCTAAATTAAATCTGTGTACCAAATTTCAGATCAATCTGACAACGGGAAGGTGCTTAAATTCCAATTTCTAATTTTGACCCAAATAAATAAATACCGTACAGGTCGAGCTAAATAAAACCGTTTAATATAGGAAATAAAAATAAACAAGACAATTACAATCGCAACGATACAATTGTATAAGTACAGTAAAGCGGTCTTATTGCTGAGAGCAATCTTTTTAAGACAACCTTAGGGTAATGGACTAATTGTTGTGCCAATAGGTATGGTACTGTATAATTAAGAACGCTGTATATAGATATGTACTGTATAATTAACGCTTATAAAGCAATCTCTTCAAGATAACCTTTAGATAGCTATTTATAAGCCGTCTTTTCCTTTCTCTTTTTCTCCGCCTTGCTTTAGCAACCTTACATTAAATTCAAAAATATTTGTAATAGATTTTTTTTTATATACTCTTATGCGTCTAATAGGGTTACTGTTACTAGGGGTAAAATCGGTTTGAAGGGTGGGATATGGCGTGAATTTACTGGGTACGGAGGAATAACACCTGAGTCCTCAGGAATGGCAACGCATGGAGGGTATCATGGGTGAA